TACATCATTTTGTAGTTAGATTATAATATTATTATGATTACTACTACTTTAGGTGGACGGTAGGTACTTATAAAATAAGTTCAAAAAACATAATTCTCACTCAAAAACGTATAGACATTAGTTTGTTTTTACCATGTATTATGACGGAGCCATACTATTTCTTTCCAATTCGTTATTGGTTTCTTGTACATCGCGGTCGTCATTTAAATTGAGTTTGATGACGGCGTGTTTACGACCGAACAATAAACATTTTTTTTAACGTTTATATTACACCCGAGTGATAATAATAATAATACTAAAAATACTATCGCGGCAATAATAATGCTTAATACCTCGGACAAATTTGTGTTTTAAAATTTGTTTACGATAAAATAAACTATAGAACTCAAGTCGACATTCGACAATCGACAAACAAACGTGACACTCAACATCTTAATAGGTTTAATAATTTATTACCAATGAGCCGGAATATTGCTTATAAAATGTGAGTTACCAGATCCATGGTAATTACCAATTGGTAACAACTAAAAAAGTATGTAGTCACAAATCTGCACCACCAATATAATAGAGCACTATACATAGGTACTAATTATTGTATAGTGTTTATTAATAAGCGGTCACTCGTCAGCGTGAAAAAGGTTTGAGATCTGTTTAATAATAAATAATGGTTTTCTACATTTTTGCAAATTTACAACGCATCTAGTTCGCACTTGTCCAATAACCGCACACTTGTGATTTCGAATCCAAAAAGGTCGACAGACAAAAACCGCACACTGCATCGGTTCGTTGTATACCAAAATACAGCACACTTAATGTGGGTTAAAACCGCATACCAGATGTACCTATTATAGATTATTAAAATTATATTATTAGCTGACAGTAAATTTCTTTTATATATTTTTATTTAAATGAATACCTATATAAATAACAAATAATATATCAATTTGTAAGTAATTATTAGGCGAGTAGTTTTTGGATAGGTACAACCACCTTAAAAAATTGTGTGGTTTTAACTTACTAAACGTGTCAAGTTTTAACTTACTAAAACCTTAACCTACTGTGCGGTTTCGTCCTGTGTTTTATCTAAATTGTGCGGTTTTGGGATTCAATGGGTTTAACGCACTGCGTATTGTAATATTTTTAAATTGATTACCTAAGTGCACCTATATTTCTGGTTGTATATTATCATATTATTGGTTTTTTTATTATTATTCCGTTTTGGTCTTTCCACTTGCCTCTTATAAACCTAACGTGTATTTTTGATTTGGAATTTTCAAACAGTATTATGGAATTTTCTTTTTTTATTTGATACAAATTTGAAATAAAAATTAGATGATAAGCTATTTTTTAACATATTTTAACGTTATCATCTATAATATTATATTATGTAGTATTATTTGTCACCATATTTAGTAATTCGCAAACGACGTACATGTATGAGAATGACTGTCACTTAAACTGTCCTCAAGATCTTATGTCACGGTGTCCATCTACTCCATATATTTTTTTTAAAACTACAGCTCATCATATAATATTAAACTTTAGCGAGTCCATTGTATTTCTGTGTAATCACTGCCCCATACAGGGTGATTATTTTAACAGGAAAACACATTATTAGGAAGAGTATTAATATTTTTGATAAATTGTTTTTTATTTTATTGCAAAAAAATATTTTTTACTATTTTTATAGTTTTAATTTTTTTCTCATTTAAATGTATTTTTAATCATACATTAAGAAGGAGGATATGTTTTTAATAATTTTTCTGTTTAAAAGATGAATTTTTTATGAGGTATTGATTGCTAGTTATAACTTATAAAAATTTAGATTTTATATGATGATTGACTCAGAGGAACGACATTTTTACAGATAGATGCCTACCCTGAGCCACTTCGCTCCACTCATCTAAAAGCTTAAATAAATATTTTATATTAATTAATATGATATATAACTAATACTTATAACTATGTGAGTCATAACTAATAATTTTAATTACTCAAGTAGTTGTTAAAAATTTGATTTTAAACATCAAAATGATCTAAAGAATAGGTATTTTACTTCAGAATATGAAATTAAAAATATCGTTTTCGTTTGAATAAATGAAACCCTTGAGAATAGAATTTTTTTCAAAAATATTCTATTGTTATGTGACTTCTATAGTTATGTAAATATATATTCAAAAAAACACTTTAATAGGTGCTTGTCGGACAATGAGTGTTAACTGATAAAGAAATCACCCAGTATACAACACACACAGTAATAATTAATATTTTATATCCATATAAGACGTGGGGACATACGCTGCACTGAGTTCTGCGCTTGTGCGCGTACCTAATTGACTTGATTTCCACTCGTCACCATCGTACAATGTAATATAAATACGTGTATATAATGTACATATCGTATCGTTGAGACATGAAAACTTGTCGTTTGCAAACGAGTTTTGCCCACCAAACATAATAATAATTGTGTCCGCCAATTTAACTGGATTTATCAAAAACATTAAAAAATGTGAGTAGACACATTATTAATTCGCCGCAATAATAAATAGTACATTGGTCTAATGGCTATCATTATATTCGTACTACAAATAGGTGTATACCAATTTTTCGTGCTTATGTTATTTACCGATTTGCAATATTTACATGTAACACATCATAATAATATATAGGTAAGTGAGCGCTGTAATGTCTACTTATTATTCTAAATTTACGTTAGAGGTACTATCTACATTCTACTTACTTGAATTAAAAATTGAACTGCAGTGATGTTTCTATAATTTTGTACTGCAACCGATTTTAGTGTGTAAACGATACAAATATTTATTTATACGTACGAGTACCCAAATATTTAGTATATAATATCTATATAAAGTTGAATTGACGTAGGTACATCGTTATAGAATATAATGTAATACAATAAGATATAAGTAATAACAATATTATTTTTGTCCTGTCACAAATGTGCATTGACGTACCTATATCATATTATAATATTGGTTGTTTATTGTTTTCTAGCATATACTAAAACAAATTGTGCATCGGATTTTTAAGAGAAAAACCCATAGTAGGTACCGACAGGAAAACGAGTCCGTCTTGCTGAAATTTACCAATATTATAAATGCGAACATGTGGCGTGAATCAACAGGTTATAGGTTATACAATATACATGCATAATATTTTTCCGCAAATTGTCATGTCGTCACACTTGCGACTAGGTTTTCCTGTCGGTCGTATGAATAAATATATTGATCGGATATAATACTAATAATTAGATAATTTAAAAACGAGAGGCCCTCTGAAAACCGGCAATGCGTGCAGTGGCATCATTTCAGTTTTGGAGAGGGGGGGGCAATTTATTTATTTCAAATTTTATTAAATATTTCACCTAGCGGATTATTCCGGAGGAGTTGGATTTATTCAAGGGTGAGATGTAATTTAAAAAAAGTTTTTTTTCATATTTCGAACATTTTAAAAATTTTTTGAAAAAAGTCAAGCTTTTTGATGTTACTTGCAATATGAAATAGCGGTTGGAGCTATAGTTTACATTCACCTATATTTTTATGAATTCTATTAAATTGATTTTTTTATCATTTTAACATATAATAATGTTTAAACTGTTTTTAACGACGAATGCCATTTATCTAACATAATCAGTGTTGTGACTTGTGGTATAATTACCACATCTAATGATTTTCACCTACAAAACTCCACACTTTAGAAAGTCCTTTTATAAAAATTAATATCTACGTGGTAAGATCGAAAAAAAAATGTTTTTTTAAATCATAATTATTTATTTTATTATAAATATGTGGTGACTTCTCTATATGAGTATTTCAAAACTGCCTTTTTCAGGACTCATTATTAGTGCTGCTTAAATGTCTGCTGTTATTTACCAGGTAAAGTTATATTTACTAAAAAAAATTAATAAAAAGTGTATGGAAAAGAATTATTATTAACCTAATTAAATAATAAGTAATAATTTGTGCGTAGAATAACTGCAATGTATATTACTTACTACCTAACTCACACTGCGATCAGGTATAGAAACATACGACTCGTACTTACGCAAATGTTATCATAATTTATCAATATATAATCACTAATCAGCATTTATAACAACATTACGATTTTTCTAACTTGATTCAGTTATCGTTGTAAAACCGGAGTGATTAATTATGTGCAGTTGCCAGTTATTGAAAACACACTGTGCTGCAGTTTACTCACTCAAAAATTCGATCATCTCAACGTTTCGATAAACCTCTCCGGTCGTATAACAGGTAGGTATATCTGCTGTGAGACTCCGATTTAAATCCAAGTTATAAAAATTGTTAAGATCAACACCTCCCCGTCAGAAATTCATTGTACAGACTACAGACAGATTGCTGCAATATCGACTATACATATCGCATAAACGGGTGATTATAAACTTGGCCTCTATATTTTCAGGTAAAAATTATTGATACATTATAAACTCAGCTGCAATAAAAAAAGGTCCCTGATCTTCTCATATCTAATTAGGTATTACCTTATAATATTTTTGAGGATCATTTGTCTATTTGGCATTACTTAGAAGGCCATAACCCAGATTATACCAAGAGGAGGTGGTTTTCATCTTATGCTTGGAAAAAAATTGCATTAAATCGACGATCATTGATAAGGCTATGTAAGCAACACTGAAAAATCGTTTCAAAATACTAAAACATAAATGAATAATTGATGCCTCAATGTTCAATTATATTTTGACAAAAAATTGTCCACGATAAGATATATCCCTATAAATAGGTACGTTATTTATTATCCTCAAATCGTGTAGAGTTTATTTTGGTAAAAGTTATCGGCTTACCGAGCAAATTGACCTTTTTTATAACCAGCTTTGCCTGGCCGAGTTTCAATCAAAAAAAAAAAAAATCGAGGACCGAGCTTACATTTGCAGCTCATAACTATTTCATAAAGTCCATCAAGTCGCACCATAAACAGTATAATATTTGAGTGCGTCTCACCTTTGAGCTCGAGTCGTTCGATAATGTCCAAGGAATGCTGAAACTCCTCTTCCTTGCGCTCGATCCGGTAGAACACGAAAGCACCCAGGCACAGGTAGCCCACGAACACGACGAATCCGACGAACCATCTGCCGATCATTTTATTGCTTGCTGGTCCGACCAGATCATCGCCCCCGAAACTAACGCAGTTTGTGATTTACACAACACCGAGGAGCTCGTCGATGCGGCCGCGAGTCCGACCCCGGAGGATATCAAGATCCTGCGGAAGGTTTGAGTGTAGAAAATCGCACCGATAATAATTATAATTGTTATAACAATAGAGGTATGCGATGGTAGGTGTGAAGAGTCAAAAACGAAATATAGTGATAATAACAATAAATAATAAAATTAAAATTAAAAAACGATAAGGTAAACCTCGGAACGGAACTTAAATTAATATCATTTATTATTATGTCGTTATCGCCGGCGAACGGACGGACTGCAGACGCGCACTTGTCGTTCCGCTGGTAATGTCGGCCGGCAGTCGTGTGTCGACGACGATGACAACAACTACAGCAACAGCAACAGCAGCAGCTTTGGCGCGTATCATATAATATTGTAATGTGCAGTGCGGACGATGCGTCGGCGGACGATGAGGCGTGGCGGCGGCTTCGGCGGCGGAGATAAGGAGAACAGTAATACACAGCAATAATAGTAATAATATAATATTTAGTAATTGGAAGAGGAAAGAGAAACGAAAACTCGTCTTAATCGGCCTGCAGATAAAAAGGTGACATAATAACGCTTATTGGCGTATTATGTAGACCGCGCGATCCCATCACATGTACATAATATTAAATATATAAAAAAAAATATGAACTTGCTCTTCTCTAAGTACATAATATTACTGACTATAAACTACATATAATAGCATACCGTAAATAGTTATTGTTGTGATAATAATATCATATCATATAGGTACGTCAAAACCGTGAAGATTGTAGAATCAAACTACTTGTTCTGTAGAGCGCGTGCGCTTCTCTGTTACAACAGTACAACAACAGGTTTCGTTTCTTAAATAATATAATATAATAATTATTACTGTTCTCATAATATTTGTACTTGAAGTATTCACTTGAAATTTGTACGACGATGCTGACTGGCCAGTGAGCTTCTCAAAATAATATAACAAGTACACTTTTTTCTCGAATTATACCTATCTACCAACACTTCAAGTTCGTTAAATAACATTTTTAATTCCCTTTGGTTAAATATATATTATTTCATACTTTAGTTTAATTACCGACAACATTCTAATTAATATTATAGTAAAAAGCTATGGTACAATAAAACTTATACTACTAATAATTTTAGTCCCATTTCTGACTTACATATATGAATAGGTAGTTATCAGTGTTGTAAAGTATTTGAGTAAAAGTATTTGAGTAAAAGTATTCAAATACTTTTTTCCGTATTGAATACTTTTTCAAATACTTTTATTTTTGAAGTATTTGAACGGTATTTTAAATACATTTTTTTACTATTGAATACTATTTTATTGAATACTTTTTTTATTCCTTCAACTTTTTATTCATTGTCAAATAATAATAATGTCTTAATAATATTATAATATATATTTATCATTTATGAACAATTCTATATTGGTTTTAGTTTTCGTCTATTAATAGCTAATTAATATTAGTTACTCTGAGAAACCGTCTGTTTATCGTCGACACTCGACGACGATCGGAACGGTACGTTTCGGTACCTACTACCTACCAATATAGTATATTATCATAGCGAAATATAATACGAACATTAGGTAGGTAAGGTATGTCGTATACGTACGTATTTTTTTGTTTTGTATTTGAAAATTATTTCAAATACTTCTAAAAAGTATTTGAGTAATACTCAAATACTTTACAATAGATAGTATTTGGGTGGTATTTTAAATACTTTATTTTATAAGTATTTGAGTAATTACTCAAATACTTTTTAAAAGTATTTTTTACAACACTGGTAGTTATAATATGTGTGCGCTAAGCTATTGGTATCACATTATACTATACCGCCCGATCGCATAGTTAAAATATACGTACCTACCTAATATAAATTGTCGTTGTTCGTTTAATATGATAATAATAATAGGTACTATCTATGTAATAACTGTATAAGACAGAGTCAGAAGCGGATTTATGATTATTAATAATTAATTACTGTTATATATACCTAACTCTCAAGTTTGAATAAAATGTAGACTTATAGCTTTTTTTAAACTAAAACGTTAAACCGATAACCACATGTTTTTTCTTTTGACGCTCAGATCAGGGGGGGAAGATCACACCTTCGTCCCGCCCATTTGTAACCACCACTGGGCAGAGACGTGTCACATAATCAGGGGCGTATTTAGACTTACTTCTAGGGGGGGGCGACTTATTTAATTTTTCACTAAGTATGGACCCGAAAAAAATCCCATTTCATAGCCACGGGTATTGTACGCCGAATGCTTGAAATTATCACGCACCCTCGTTGCGATGGTTTGACACGTATAAACTTAAACGATCTAATTAAAATGTGAATATATTTTATTAGATTTTAGAAACGTTTTTAACAAAAAATTTTTATAATTAGTTTGATTAAATAACAAAATCAAGGACCAAGGTTCCTTTTTTTTTTTGAAAAACGATCAATAATGTCGTTAACATCAATAATTATATCTTGATGGATATTCATTAAAGCCAAACTAGTCAACCTTTGTTGGCCCATTTGGTTTCTCAGCCATGTTTTTAACCTATACGTAACAAGCAATACAATCATAATTCATAAGTTAAAAAGCATTGTTACGGGCAATTATCAATATAAAAGTTTGTTGCTCAAAATATAAACTATTTATTATTAATGTTCAAGTAGATATTATGTATGTATACATAATATATGCTTGTACCCAAATAAAATAATACAATACATTAAGCTATAATAAAATATAAGCAGTTAAAATAGTATAGATGTATAGATGTAAATTGTTAATTAATTTGATTTTGTTATAAAAATTATCCAAATTAAAAAAATTTGAAGTGTGTATCTCACATACAATCGATTCCATAAATACAGATTCAGGGGGGGGGGGCGGTCGCCCCTTCGCCCCCCCCTAAAATACGCCCCTGCACATAATACTGGCTACTGCCAATGGTCCGCGATACGTCATATTATATTAAATATAATATTATAATATAGACAGCTGATGACTGCCAGCCATTTATTCAGAAATAAATCGGAAGTAAATTCGGGAAGAAAAATCCGATACAAGTTGTTACGTTTTGTTGGTTAACTACACAATATATGTAATTTTTTTAACTCTCGATAGGTACACTCCAATTTCTTCCTTGAAAATCTTCTATGCCTCGGACGTGTACCTACAATAATATAACACTGTCGTGCAATGCGGACTGCTTATTACCCATAAGTAGATACATCGCGGAAATATATCGTGTAAATCAAGTGGTTAAGTACACGTCTCGCGTGCATCCACGATCGTGAAGGTCCGGGAAAGGGGCGATCCACGGACGACGGGTTTTTTTTTTGATTCATTTTCAAAAATATATTATAATATTAGAAGGGCTTTATATCGCCGCCGCCGCAGTCGTTGTCAGATAAGTATAATATTATGATTGTATGTCCATCTCGTGCGGATGAGTTGCTATCTTTATTCTCAACTAATAAAGACCTTTAGAGTTTAGATCATCGTCGCCTTGACTTGTCGCCCAGTTTATAATTTTGTCTATAATTTTACTAGTCGTGACTCCATATATCGCACGTTCGTGTCCGGAGCCGGATATTCGTGCCAACAATGTCTTATGTCGGTACAATATATTAAATTATTATATCGTATAAAATAATAATTATATTACCGTGTCGGACACTCTATACGTTTAATATGTTAATGTGAGTCGTTTACTCGTATCATTGTTATATTATATTATATAAATATTAGTTTACCTTATATTGAGCGGGATGAAACAAACGGAGATAAAGACCACGTGTATACGTGCCACCTGTTGTATAATGACGATTGACGACAATATTGTTATTTTAAACACTAAATGATATTAATAATATATTATTAATCACTCGATCATTTGGTACGACCCATGGGGCAGTCGTTCAGATGACCTATACATCACGAGGAACAATCTCTCATACGTCAAATCGATTTTTTGTAACATATTTAAACTCCCTGAAAATTGCCGTAATATCCTGGAAAATATTACAAAATAATACACTAAATTATACCGCAAAAGACAGCTTTTGGACAATTGTTCCCCTTTTGAAACTTTCCACGCCGATCGTTTAAGTTCCGCGGGACCCGTCAGTCGATATTATGTACCTACGCAATACGCATTGTGTTACAGATGTTCATTGTAAAATTCGAAGTACTTACCTATATAATAAGGATATAGCATGTATATCGATGACAAGGGCTTTTTTCCATAGAAACGCGTATTGAGTTAACTGGTATAATATTTTTAATTTATAATTTTATAGCACCTAAGTATGAGCAACCGCAGATAAACGAGCATAATTCGAAAAGAACGAAAACGTTCTAATCGAACATTACAATAATACGAGTTCTAATTAAAAAGTTTATTAATAATATTGTACGATAGTTAAATCGTTTTAATGTTATAATATTATACTAATTAGACGAGAGATAGTTCGTACTGCAGGTTATATATAAATGTATAGTAAACAGCTATATATAATATTATTCTGATGTAATTTTCGTAATCAGTCAGGTCAACGTCTTCAAATGTGCCGATGCGTGCTGGTCGAAGGGTGGAATAGAAATCTGATATTTTTACACATATCTACATGATTTAAATCGAATAATAGAGTAAGTACTAAGTATATACAATCTTACTGTTTGGCAGCGAACACAATTGTGGAATATTATTCTGACAAATAATCACGCGACGTTCCGGAGAGTCTATTGCGAGTACGTCCGTGTTCTCAAGTTCCGAAAATAGAGGTGGGATTGGGGGACTTAAACCCTAAATCAATATACGAACAATAAACTATATTGATCAATATTATGTAATATATAAATACATATTTATTTCAACTGTTTTTCACCTACAATGCTATTACTTTAATGATTTCAAA